GGCTTGCTACGGGGAAGGATGAATGGCTTCAGCATTCCCCTGGGGGAGACACAGCTGTGCCCAGCAGCCGCTTGCTGCGGGCTCTGCGCTACTAGCACAGCCCAGTCCTTTACCGGCAACCCACAGCATGCTTTCTCATGGCTCTGGGATGGAGAAGGGGTGACCATTAGCAGGTAAAGATGGAGCAGACACAGCTTTGACCCACCCTTCTGCAAAACTCAAGGGTTGACTGTCCTGGAGGTCGCGAGCCATCTGGAAAACCCTCCAGTACGTAGTGGTAGCACCTCTTCCTGAATGATGAACCTGCTTCCCTGGCAGGTGCATGAGTGCTGAAGCCGGATGTCCCCTGGGGATGCGGAGACAGCTCCGACTTGCTGTGCCAAGATGCAAGGCTACAACTGCAGGGTGTTTTGTGTGCCCGGGAGTTCAGATTGCACCAGGAGACCCTCCTGGGCTGGGGTCTCATCCGTCCCTGTTAGAAACAAGAGCCCGTCTGTAGCTGTTCTCGCCACCTCGGAGTTGGTCTGTAGGGTCTAACGGGGCAGTTGGCACAGCCAGTTTGTCCGGTACCCTGTTTGTCTTACACCTGCCCTGCATGGTGCATGGCCAGATCTTGCTGGTGCTGTGCAAGGGGCAGGTCCTCCTTTGTCTTTTGCAATGTAGCATTCAAGGAATGTCACTGCAATGCCAGGCCTGACCTTGAAGGGAGATGGAGGCAGAGGAACGGGAATGCGACTGTACAGATGTGTCTTCAGTCCTCTGCTGGCTTATGCATTGAGGTTGGGGTGAGGCCTGGCAGCAAACAGCTCCCGTGTGCGTGGGGTCAGGCTGGGAGGTACAGCAGGAAGCCGATCCCAAGACCTGCCAAAGAGGCCAGTGCTCAGCCTGCTCCCTGGCATGGAAATGGAGCGGCCTTGCTCTGAACAGCTGCTGCGCAGCTCTGTGACATCCCTTCTGTGCGGTTCAGACGCCGTGGACCAGATTGTCCCGGTTGGGTGCTGAGATTGCTCTTGCAGCCTCTTGGAAGTGAAACAACCCAGCCAGTTACTCAGCTAAAATGCCTTTATTAAATCCAAAGGCCAGTGGCGGTTGTACGCTCCCCTTAAATGAACGCTCTCGAATGCCGTAGCAAAATACTGGTTGTGCATTAGGGAGCAATGTTACAATCCTAATTAATGGCCGTACCCCTGCACTAATTACAGTGACAAGCACTTGATCAGAATATGTACCGCTGGGCTCATGAGGGAGTCTCGATGTCCATCTTTCCTGCCTCTCTTTTACCCCCCCCAGATTCCTCATTGCATCGCCTTCTCCTGAGGTCCACAAACTGGTCAGGATGGGGCCAAACTCGTGCTGTCGTTCCCAGTCCACAAAACCTTCTTGCTTTCTTTGCTCATTCTTGGTGGGTCTCCTGGAGACAACATCCTTCACACCTTGTCCACCCAGTTTTTCTCCTACATCAGCACATCTGTGGCTTACTTATCACACTTCGTCTTGCCACCGTGCACGTGTATGTGCATGTGTATGTGTGTGCACCTCTGTCTCTTCTGGCTCTCAAATCACAGATTCCTTTGATCCTTGTGCTTCCTTGGGATTAAACACCCCATCCCTTATTACATTGCCTTTCTTAACTCCTACAAGGTCACCTTTTTAGGTGCAGTTGTGTGGATCTGTGCACGGGTCCCCGGGTGGCGGCCACGGCTCTGGGGCGGCTCTGCCCCGCTGACTGTTCCCCAGCCACTGTGCTTAGCCTGTGCTAAGAAGCAAGCCTGGAGACTTCCCAGCAGCCTGTTGCACCCAGTGCTGGAGACCTGAGCCCTAGGGTGTGAGAGCTTGGTCTGACATCGTGAAGCCATAAGATCTCGGAGCAGATCTGGCTGGCTGGACTTGAACTCCCTGCTGTGCAAGCTGTCTTGCTAAAACCCCAGCAAATAACCCCAGCTGGAGCATGAACCCTCCCCCCCACACTGCAGAGCAACTGCCCAGCTGTTGCTGCAGCATTTGGGATGGACCTGCCCCTCACCCCCGAAGGGATTTGGGCTCCCTTTGCCCTGTCCTGCAGTGCAGCAGATCCTGGGCTTTGCTCATACCAGGGCCACTGTCAAAACTTCCACGTCCTGGCCACAAGCCAACAAGAGTTTTGCTCTTGACTTTACCCAGTAAAGGATCCTCCAGCATCCAGGATGCTGTGATCCAAGACGGAAGGATGCTTTTGGGTGCGTCTGTGCCATGCTGACACATGCCACATCTACACTGCACGTGCTGTCTCCTTAATCGGATGTAGGTGCCCTCGTGCAGCACTGCAGAGAAGCAAGGCTTACGGGCACATCTGGCATCACAGCTGAGCAATACAGACATGCCCATAAGGTCTTAGTTCAGTGGCATACCCGGAACAAGATGTGTCTCTTGTGCCTTTTCAAGGGGAAGGTCGCAGCGAAATGGAGCCAGTGGGGTATGTGCAGGGGGTGTGGGGAGGCTTTGAAGATGAGCTCACCCTCACCCTGGACAGGGATAAACTGCAAACAGGCAACAAAGATCTCTGTGTCGGCTCTGAACCAGATTTCCTGAGCTGCTGGTTGCACGTGTGTCCATTGCTACATTTGGCCATGAGAGTCAGTAAAATTTGGCATCTCCAGTTGCTTTTGAAAACAGTGAAGTAGAATGAGGGGCTGCCATGGTTTTTCGTACAGTCCAAAGCTACGTGGGTTTGTCGGTTCCCTTGTTTCCGTGCACTCTCCCGTCTCTCTGTCTCCAGCCCGTGTTACTTGTTTTATGCTTGGATTGTCAGCTCCGTGTTTTGTGCAGCACCCAGCACAGCTGGGCGCAGGATGAAGACCAGGGCTGTGAACCACTATAAGGATCACGGCTGTGGTTGCTTGACTTGTTAATGGTGTGCGGTGCATAAGACAGAGAGGCCTAAGCAAGGGTCCTGTGATACCCACAAGCTTGCCGATGTCTGTGCCAACCATGCAGCTGGTTCAATAAAAGATTGCCTATGCGAATTCTTGCCTCTAAAACAAAGATGACATTCAATTAGAAAGCATAGATTCAGGTTGTAATACTATATAATCAACAGGCCCCTGTTTAAGCATATGCATAGTCGTAGGCCTATGGTGGAAGCAACTGATAAAGGTTTTTAGGTGCGTGGCTCACCTGTGGCTAAATACCTTTAAAAACCCTGTCCTTGTTGAAGCTGAGCCTCGTTCAGTCAGGAAATGGGGTGCGTTTAAGCCCCGCTGCTGTCAACCCAGGGTCTCTGTGAGTTCACCTGCAGAATGACAGCGGATCCTGGGTATGACCGTAAACTGCATCTGGCTGCAGGGCCCAGGGCTGCATGTGGCAGGGAGCTCCTATAAAATACCACAATGTCACAACCCCCAAAGTAAAGCGAGTATAAGTTGCCACAAAACACTAGCCCCCCACTGCTAGGGTACTCCTTGGTTGGAGAAAGGCCAAGGGACATCACCCTGGCAGAAATGCACCCTTGCTGAGGCATTAGGCAGTCAGCAGCAGTTCTTCTCCATTGCTTTTTGGCAGAAGTTACAAGCATCGAGTCACTGACTGTCTGGACGTGGTCTGGCCTTTAGATTCTGTCTCAATGGTCTAGAGGGGGAACGGTAGGTCTAGGGCAGCCTCCACTCCTCCATACCTTTGCCTAGGTATTTGCGCTGAAGGTCTTGGTGTGCTGGACCTCTTGTGCATGCACCGTGATCCAAAGGATGAATGGCTGCCAAATAAGAGAGGACAGGCTTTTGCAAACCAAAGGTCAGCTCATCAGATGCATCACACTGAGCGCCTATACACGTGCAGAGAGGCCGGTCTGGTGCGCTGTAATTACAGCAAGTCAGAGGAGACTCGATGATTCGTAATTGCCATGCTCCAGCAGACCCCAGTATCACGTGCATCAGCTTCCCCACGCTGAAAAATGGCAGCAGGGGCGCTTTAACTAAAGCTCAGTCCATGGGCTTTAGTTAAAGCAGCCTTGCCACCATTTTTCAGCACGGGGACACTGATACATGTGACACTCTGGGTGCTTTAATTAGAGCAGCTCTTGAAGCCTCTTTAATTAAAGCACCCCCTCTTTGCCTCCCCCCAGACCATGTCTATAAATGCCCATAATGCAAGCAGGCATGGACTCACTGTCATCCTAATGGACAGTCATCCTCATTGCTCAGGTTTTTGCCTTCCAGAAAATACCAACAGGAGGCACCTGCCTGACCTGGGGATATTTCTAGCTGCCTTCTTTGACTGCACCAAGATGACCCCCCCTTGCCCTGTTGGAATGGGCCCCATGTTGGGGCCATTTAGCCTGGTGGTGAGCTGTCCTGGTGCAAACCCCATGTTACACATATAGCACACCTAAAGAGGGGCTTTGCATTGGCATGCACGCACAGGACATACCCCCCACTCTGCACAAGTGCCAAGCCACCCTCTGTCCTGCTGAGCAGTGATGGAGTTGCAGTAGTCTGCAATCACATTTTAAGGCAGGACAGCTGTTTTAGACACTTGACAGTGCCCATCCCTAGGGACGGATAAGGCCTGCACCAACCTGGCTGCAGTGAACTTTGGAACAGGCTCCAGCTCCAGCATTTCTGTCTCAGATGGAAGACAGCTACTTAAGCAATAGCCAGGGAGCAGAGAATTAAATGGGATCTTTAAAAGACAGCAAGCAGGTTCTGTGCAGCTCACAGAGTGCAATGAAGTCTATTAGGAAATGTCTGATATAAAGGGCCAGATCCTGCCATTGGAGAGACTTCCTCGGTTCTATCGCAATCAGCAGGAGTTTGGGAGTTACGTCCTCAGGCATGTTCAGGTCCCCGTTGTTCACATTAAAGTGCAATAAAACTTTTGAAGCTATCAGAAGGAATAACCATCCCATGGGTAACCCACGGAAACAATAGCCTAATAAACTCCCCCTGTTGCGGTTGATTTTACACTGTTGTTAACCAGCACAATAAAATAAAAGGGTATTTTTTTGCCTCTCTGCCTTTGTTCCCCAGATGTTCCTGCCTGGTTGAAGAGCCTCCGCTTACACAAGTACGCAGCTCTCTTCTCTCAGATGACCTACGAAGAAATGATGGCCCTTACTGAGTGCCAGCTCGAGGCGCAAGTATGTTCCCAATTAGGCATGAAACAATTAGCCCCGTTTCTTTTTTTGTTCTTTTTCTGCTGTTGTCACAGTTGCAAGGGCCATGCTTGCTGGGTGGGTAGACAGGTTTCCCTAAAAGCATCACTATATTTGCTGCATTATGCATTAAAGAGGGTTGCAGAAGAAATCATGCCGTGCTGCAAAGTGACGTACCCAACGGTTTGTTGCTGGACTCAAAGGATGAAATCTTCCTCCCAACAAAGTCTGTGGGAATGATGCATTGGTGTCAGTGAGGACAGCATTTCACCGCAAAATCTTGGGGAGATTTTCAAAGGTACAAACAGCATTGGGGCATCCCGCTCCCATTTCAACTGCTGGTATCTTCAAAAATCTCCCTCTTGATCCCTTTCTTTCCAGGCTGTGTTTGAGAGAAAGAGATGTGATTAGCATCTTCATTCTTCCCCAAATGCCTGTTAATACTCTAGAGTCCCCAGTGGCAGAGTGGCTTCTAGAAGAAAGGAACTTAGCAAACTAAAAGCCAAGATTGCAAAAGTCCCATGACTTTCTGAAAGCTGCGGGCTAGACCCAGTGCCCGGTCACTCTGGCGTTCTGGGGAACAGGTTGGGGCACCAGCAGTGTTACATGTTCGTTGAGTGCTGGAGTAACCCTGGAGAATGAACTGAGCACGAAACTGGAGGCCTGGGGGGTGGCACTCATTTTGATTCCTCATTTGGAGAAGCTGGGGGCAGGGGGGTTGCTTTGGTTTCTTTTGCATGCATCTCTGCGTTGACGCATCTTGTGCAGAAGGGTTTAAAACTCACCTGAAAATCAACCCCCTTTCCCATTAAGTCCCTCCCACCCACACACCCAATGACATGGGCAGTCCTTTTGGGAGCCCACTGTTATTGTCAGCGTATTTGCTATTCATGTCAATCCATTCCCCTCCAGGCGACGAAGGGCAACTGAGTCAGCCGTGCGGAGAATTGTGGGGAACTGCTAGGAAATAGCAAGTCCTAAAGGGTCTGTTTTCTCACTTCCCACCAATCTCAGCAAAACTGGGTGCTGGCAGTCATCTCAGCGGCTCCTAGAGCCAACATTATATTTAAAAGCTTTCCCTTGGGAGAGCTTACAAAGATAACCACTCCGGAGGAGGGTGGGCACGCCAGCAGGAAATCTAGAGCTTCAGTGGGTTTCCAGGTTGTTTCCTGAGACTCTCAGCCTCTCTGCAAATCCCTGAATTCAGGGGTTTGTTTAATTTTCAGCAAGGTTTTTCATTGGAAAGAAAAGGCTTGTGTGTGACCTGTCATCTGGTGGGAACATTAACGTCAGGTTTTGTGACATTTTTATTCCAGAATGTTACCAAAGGTGCAAGGCACAAAATAGTCATCAGCATCCAGAAGCTGAAAGAGAGACAAAACCTTCTCAAGTCACTAGAAAGGGTAAGTCGGCCATGAGTCAGCTGTGTTTCTTCTTCTTTCTTGGTCGACTGCAAGAATAGCAAGAACTTAATTCTTGGATAAAATGCACGTTGGTCAGGTCTCTTGGCTGGGTCCTTCATGTATAGAGGGCCTGTCTTATGGACCAAATCCATTGTTGGTGTTTCCACCTTTGGGTAACCACTGCTCTTCCAAGCATGAGCTTCTGTTTGAATCCTTCAGAGAGTTATCATTGGCCTCTCTCCAGCCAGGGGTCCATATACCCTTCCCCAGCTGTCCAAATGAGTGCACTAACGCTGCTTGGCTCATTGCATTTGCGGCCAATGCTCTGCTCCTCCTTGCTCCTACCCAGCCCTTCCCAGCATGAGTTGGAGAATGGTACTTCTGTGGAAGCTCCTTCTGCCACCCAGCACAAGGAGCCAGTTAGGGGGCAGCTGTCAGCCCCTTGCTGTCCTGTGTGGATGCTGTGCACAGGCCATGGTCTGGCCCTGCACTTGAAAAGGCCAATTTGGTTTCTCTGTGAGTCCAGCCACGGTGATTTTGAAAAATGGAGGAAGTTTGTAAGGAGCATGACTTACCCACATGTGGACACAGAGCCCTGGCATTCAGTCATGTAAAGGTACCACAGGATCTGAGCCTTATCCTAACAGTCCTGTCTCCTGCCCTGCCACACATGCATGGCAGAATGTACAATTCTGGGATCAGATCCCAATTGCAGCCTTTCTACTTAGTGCAAGGGGAGCCTGGGATCATGACCCGGGGCTCCCCCTGCACCAGTAAGTTGGGATCCAGGTGCCCTCAGCCCAGTGCATGCTGGGGCCAGTCCACAGTGATGATTTGAGACCCTGGTGCAATCCTGGGGTTGGGGCTGACAGTCAACTGATTGTTGGCCCCAGTCTGGAGCAGTCACAGACATGTCATAAGTTCGGCGTAAGGCACTGTACAAACCAGCCATAAAAATGTTCTACATAATGGGTGTATCTATACATGAAATTAATGTGACATAATAAACTCCAGAGCAGTTTGAGCTGGAGTCAGCTGCTTCTGAGCAGTGCGTCTACATCTGTAGCCAGGTTCGCAGAAATTTGAGTCGAAGTAGAGCAGCTCTGGGCTGGCAGGGAGCATGGGGGGTCAGCCCTGGGCTCCGGGTAGCGATGTTAGGTGGCAGAGGGGCTGGCAGGAGCCAGGGGCCTGGCCCCAGGTTGGTTGGATGCAATTTGCACCTGGTGGTCACCATCTACATGTGCATTTAATTGCATTTAATGACTCTGCTTTAAGATGGTACTGTCCCCGACAGTGCTACCTTATGGCAGACTTAATTAATTTACTGCACCCTAATACCAGTGCACATGTAGACTGAAGTGCTTTACTACAGAGCTAATTAATCTACTCCACAGTAAAGCACACATATAGATGCACCCAAGATATCTACATTTTTATGGCTGGTTTGCCATGATTTACACATTAATTGCAGCATAAATGTAATGTGTAGAGGGGCCCACAGATACACGGATAGAAAGGTGACTTGACTTTGGTTGGGTCAGGCCACAGATCCATCTCATCCAGTCTCCTGTCATGTCTGAGTGTGGATGCTGATGGGCCAGAATTTCTGCGCCCTCAACTCCTCGCCCGCTGCAGCTTCCAGCACACCTATGCGTAGTCCTGGGGAAGCCACAGACCTTTTGTCTCCTGGAACAGACATGTTTGGGGAGCATTTAGCCTTTACAGGCTGAGGAACCAATTGATTCGTAGGTAAAGTGTCGACAAGGCAGGTCTTTCCTGCACATGGTGATTCAGTGTCCAGGTTACAGAAGTACCAGATGCCTCTTCTGTAGCTGGTAATGAGCGCAGCTTAAATATTGGCACCTCCCTGCAATGACTGTAGTTGCTCTCCACACTGCTCGCACATGCACATTTTACCCCTGCGCCAAACTCAAGGTGCCCAGTGGGGTGCAAAGGGCTCTTCCAGGGGGCACAGTGTCACATTTGTCACTGCTACTCATTTCCTTGACTGAAGATCCGTGGCTGGTGGTGTCACACGATTACCCACGTGGCCCTCGTCTCCTGCTGCACCTCAAAGGAAGGAGCCTGCCAGATTAGCCTGGGATACAGGACCTTGCCAAGGGGAAAGCTCCTGTCCGTCCTTCTCAGCAGAACTGGTCCGGGGTCATGGCGTCTTCAGGCTTCCACTGCGGGACTCGGCTCTGGTGGTGAATCATCCAGGGAAGCTGGCCAGCGCCAGCTCCCATTCAGCAGGTCGCCTTTGCAAGCAGAGGCAGAATCTTTTTCGCTTATTTTCTCATGAAAAAAACAAAAGAATTCTGCGTAATTTCGAGAAGCACCGGTTCAACCCTCCTATCATCAGCTCCACCCTACTCCACACCATTGGGTTAGGTTGAACCGATGATCACCCTGCGAAAAGCGCAGCCACCTGCTTTGGGCACTTGGATAAAAATGCTGCACATTGCTTGTGGCTGGTGTTTTGGTAAGCCCACAGCTGCACTCACATCTAACATGGGATGAGATATATGGAGCCAGAGGAGCTAATAAAGCCGTATTTGCCTCTGTACATTAATAACCCCGGTTGAAGCTGGGAGACGGCCCGCTGGATTGAGTTTGCTTTGTTGATGTGCTTTCTAGGCAATTTCCCAGCCTCCTCTCCTCTTCCTCTGCGGGCAGTTTGAAATATGGTATTGATTGGCTGTCGTTAATACAGGAATGGAGCCCAAGTTTGGCAGATGCAGCGAGCTACATTTGCTATAAAACCAGAGGGGATAACTAATAGGATTTGCTATTGAACATTAGCAACTCAGCATGCTTTGCCTGGACTGTGATTGTACCATGAGGATGTTTTGAGTGAAGCCCCTCCACAAAAGCCACCTCTGGGCTGGTTACTGAAGAGCATGTGTTTGTGCTGCAGGTTCCCTTCCAGCTTTTTCTTTTGGCAAAGCAGGAGAGTGTGAGACGCAATCTTTTGCTCACACCCTGTTTTCAGTCTTTGGAGTGGTTGCAGCCAGTTGATCCTTGCAGAAACATCCCCCCAGACAGTGTGTGTCATTGAGAGCAGGGGAGGTGTGGGCAGTCGGCCCAAGGGCACCGTTCATCCTCATCCATGGATCAGATGGGCCATGGCTCAGGCTCTGCTTTATCGTGCAGAGATGCCTCTCTGCCTCCTTCCCCACGACAACACACGGTGTCACAGGAGCTGCTGACGTCAAGCCCAGCGCTCCGCGAAGGCAGCAACAAGACGGTCTTGTCTGACCTGTATTAAGACCAGGAGTCAGTCCTTCCTCCGGGCTCCTGGGATTTTCCTGGAGAGGAGACGGCAGGATCAGACCCCTTGCAAAAGCAAGAAGCGGTGACCCTCACACATTCAGCTGCTGTCAGATGGGATTGAGAAACCCCCTTGTCTTGTTATCAGCTGCTGGGAAAAAAGCAGGCATTTGAGGGGGCTAAGATCTCATTTGTAATAAGGGATGAGGTCCTGACGCCATTGAAGGCCACAGCAAAAATCCCAGTGACACTAGCATTACCAGGTTTTGCCTATGGAGACGTGCAGTGAATTTGGTCCCTCCCTGTTATCTCTTGTCCAGCCAGGTAGTCCTTCCTGGACCCCACGTGCATTTTTGCCTGGCTTTTCCTGCCACTCTCATTCTCTTTCCCACCTTCTCTGATTAGCAACTAGACCCCTGAAGTGACTGTTTGGGTTCAGGTTTGTGAGAGTGGATGTGAGAGTTCAGGGAGTGCTAAATGTGGGGTGCTGTGATTGCAGGGGGGTTAGGTCCTGTTTTTACAGCTGTCCTGTGCAGCCAGAAACAGTTTTGACAAACAGGAAAGCAGAAATTCTCACACACTCCTAAGACGCCAGCAGCTGCGGGATCGCAAGAAGTTTTGCAAATCACGAGTCTTGCAAGAGCCAGCGACACCACTTCTCTCCCTAGCTGCTCTGTCTGGCGCAGCTGCCTCCCCAGAGCCCACTCACTGCTCCCAAATCTTCTAGCACGGTCAAATGCCACTGAGAAAAACCCAGCAGCTGCGCAGACATCCCTTCCAGTCTGGCTCCCTCCTCTCCACCATCTCCCTCGCTAAATCACTCTGCTTCCTCTCCCGACATTGCAGGCTAATGCTTCTCAGAGTCTCTCCAGCCCACTCAGGCTGCAATGCCTGTGATATCTTTCAGCAAAAAATGGGTGCTGTCTGGATGGATCTTTGCTCCTTCTGCCCAGCTGCTCTGCCCCGGCATTCCCCTCAATTCAAGAGTGGGTTCACATCTGTTGCCACCAGGGTCTCTGAGCTACCCCTCCCTCTTCTGCCTTTGGGGCCCAGAGAGGCTCAGGGCCCCCCCGTGTAACCCTCGGCCCATGCACACACGGCCCCCAGCTGCTCCAAAGTTGGACAGACCCTTTGAAGGACTTAACTGCACAAAATAACTTGCCGGACGTGCCCCACCCTATGCAGCAAAGGCCGGCAGCCTTTCTACAGGGGGCCTTGTCTTCAGCCACCTGCCAGGGCTGCCAGCATTTTCATAGCAGAGGTGCGGGCTGCCGAAAGGCATGTTCACGGCAGGTGATTGATGGCACATGTTGACTTGCACCCACAGGACATCCTGGAAGGCGGCAACCTGCGGGTCCCACTCCAGGAGCTGCACCAAATGATCCTCACCCCCATCAAAGCGTACTGCTCCCCCAGCGCCAGCCCTGACGAGCACAGCCGGGACCCGGACTCTCACCACCCGCCTTCCCTGATCGGCTCCGACGGCCAGGTCTCCGATGGCAAGGACTCAGCCTCGGGGGGCATGCAGCAGCACCACTTGCCCGGCTGTGAGGGTGAGTCGGGAGGGGCCCCTTTGCCTGAAGGAGACCTCCCCGGGCAGTTCACCAGAGTGATGGGCAAAGGTAAGTCGCTATGGGTTTGGTGAGATTGGGGTCCATTGCGGTGATGTCCCTGCTTCCCATCCACCCCACTGCCGCCCTCAGCGATGTGATGGGAACAGTGCAGACATGAGGCAGGACAGCCCCTGCCCCACAGAGATCACACTATAAATAGCCAGAGGGTATTCACATGGGGGCAGAGGCCTGGAGGACTGAAATGCTTTAGCCACAATCATGCAGCAGAGACAGGACTAGATCCAACGTCGTTCCTCTGTGCTCTAGGGCTGGGAATTGCCAGCTACATCCCTGCAGACAAAGAGGAGGAGGGGTGGAGAGACAGGCTGTCCCAGGGGAGGTGGCTGGCTGGAGAAGGGGGTGCACACATGGCCATGAAGAGGGCTAGCTGGGGGGTTTCTCCTGCTGTGCCCCATCTAAGGCAGCATCTGTAGGGCCACCAGAGCAGTGACTGTGGCATGGTAGCGCTGTCCCCACCCCGTCCCCAGGGCCAGGCTAGGCCCTGTGCAGCCAGGTAAGGTGGGAGCTAGCACTGGAGCAAGTGCTTCAGCACTGAACAGTGGTGCGTCTTCTCTTAAAGCCTGTGCCAGGCTCTTCTGCTCTGCGCTGCTCAGACACAGGAAAGCCTAAAAGTCTCCCCCTCGGCCACTTCCTCCTGCTGGCAGCCCGTGGACCCTGCTGCCAAAGGGGCCTAGGACTCCTATCCATTTTGGCAAGCTTTTTGAGTTGTTTATAGCCCTGGTTGTTAGGGTGAAGGGGAGCTCTTACTGACACTGCAGCTCCTCTGGCCCTCAACCCAACGTGCCCCGTGCGAGACCTGTTGCAGGTTAATTTGTGCCTTCACTTCTGTGGCATGATTTCAGAGAGGGACCCCCATCCTGTTGTCTCCCAGGGGGTTGGCCATTGAATTCAGCGGGGATAAGATACGTCCCCTGCAGCAGTAGACCTTCATGCCGTGCTCTTTGTCTGAAGATGTCTTATGCATATGAGAATGCAGCCGGGCAGGCAGGGAGATGGGTGCTTCTCTCGGTCATTCCCAGTGTAACCTCGTTGGCTTAAATGGATTCGCACCAGTGTCACTGAAAGCAAAATCCTGTCCTAAATATAGAAGGGCATGGCTGGAATGGTGGACGGGTGTTTTTCTAGACAAATGCTCCATTGATGAGAGTGGCTTTCAGGAGGATGGGAGTGAAGTTCTCAACCCATTCTTACAATGCCACCCGTTTCCTACCCGGCTTGCCATTTCCTAATGATCTTTTCTTTCTGCTGTGGTTGCTCTTTGCAGTGTGCACGCAGCTTTTGGTTTCCAGACCCGATGAGGAGAATATAAGTTCCTATTTACAGCTCATAGACAAATGTCTAATTCATGAGGTGAGTCGTGACGGATCTTATAAAGCTGTTGTTCTCATTGCTTGGAAACTGTTTCCAAAGTTTCTGTTGATGTAAACATTTGGGTTTCTAACACAAATATTTTGGGGGGTATTAATAGTAATTCTGATGGAACAAGGCCGTACCAGGCGGCAAATGCAGTATGATGCACAGAACCATAGGTCTCTGTAGGCTCGTGCAGCGGGGCGGGAGCTGAGAAATTCATCCAGCCTAGGATGATCGGATGAGCAATGGGGTGAAAGAAAACCCCGTGAAAGGAAAATGCATGTGAGGTTTCCATTAGACAGACCAAACCCGCCTCTGGCATCTCCGGTTTCTATTTTGCAGCAAGCACGCGGCGATTTTTGCACCCTGCATTCAGCAGATCCATTCCCAGCAGCTGCTGCTTTCGAGATTGGTACCTTAGGCAGCAGTGCTTTTTAATGGTACTTTCCCTGTTGCCCTTCAGGGCGATCCAGATGTGCTCAGCGCTCTGTGTGGCACGGACCTCAGTCACCGCCCCATGTGCTGACACAAGGGACACACGCTTGTGCACGTGTGTGCGGCACCTGATGTTACAAGCGGGGCCACGTGCCTGGGTGGAGCTCGAAATGCTTTCCAGTCTCGGAAGAGCTGCAAGCCAGCAACTCGTCAGTCAGTTGTACATTAAAGCAGAGTCGGGAAGCACACAGAAAACTGCGGTCCTGTGAGAGAGGGGCTGGCAGCATGTTGTCAGGGAAATGCTGGCTGCTGTGAGCATGCCAGCCTACAGTATGCCAGCTGGGCAAAAGGACAGAGTTCCTGATCCCCTCCAGGTTAAAGTAACTCAGGGAGAAGATGATGCCTAAGTAATAAGCCTCTCTGCTGGGCCTCGGGCACCAGCTGTGATTTCAGCAAACGCCCCATTCAGGAACTTGGGTTTGTGCTTAACGAAGCACGTGCTCACATGGTTTCCTAAATCAGGGCCAAAGAGGGAGGTTTTCTAACTCTGCAACACTGATGCTCCAGAAAAGCGGCTGCTCCCAGAAAGCTCCCATCAGCGGCAGCCACAGCTTTTTTCCCATTCACGGCACGCCGGTGGGCCGCATCGGCAGCTTCTGCAGAGCTGCTGGAAATACGCAGCGGTGGCACTAGGGCATTTGCATGCTGCTGTGAAGTGGTCGGTTTGCTCCTGCAGCAGCTCGCGGAGGCACACACCTGCTTTGTCTGTACCCCGGGCTGCTCGTTTGTGGGTTTACGGGCAGCATCTCCCCCCGCCCCCACCACATCCAAGCCTTGGCAACCCTCTGAAAAGCTCCTTTGACTCCAGCTCTGTCTGCGTTTCTGTGTGAGCAGGGAGATTTTTTTTTCTTTTTTCCCCTCTGATCACTTTGTGGTCAGCTGTGAAATGACTACAGCTCCTACCCAGGTCTTCTCTTGCAGTCCTAAAGCCATCAAGTTGTGGAGGTGGACCTGGAGGGTCGCCAGGTCCAACCCCCTCCCTCATGGATTCAGGACTGCTGCTCCTCAATCCAGCCTCCTCCCGAAAGCTGCCGCAGTCTGTTCTGCTGCCTCACCGCTCTCCTTTTTCCCTCTTCCTCTTTAGTGCTGATGTTAACCAAGCTATCAAGAAAGATAGAGGGGGCTTTTATTAGACTGCAGCTTCTGAAATGTTGTTCTGCCTAGATGCCTCTCCTGGGCCGGGGAGCGTGAGCTCCGGCCGAGAGCTGCAGTGAGCACTCCAGTGCTCTGCCCGAGGATGGCCCTGGCTCATGTTTAAAACAGTGACCAAAGCGGAGCAGCGTACCCGCATCCTTCGTCTCCCAGCTGGGAGCCCCAGGTTTTTTCTCTGCCACATCCCACAGAGCCCCAGGTTTTTTCTCTTGCATTTATGTTATATCACAGAAGCAAAGAAAAGCAGGGCTGAAAGGGACTTCTGGTGGTGACCTCTGGTCCAACTCCTCCCAGCTCAAGGGTGGATTCAAAGGCTGTGAAATCTTTTATTAAACCAACTAAACAGTTGGGGAAATGGTTCTTTGCAAGCTTTTGGGCACAACCCCCCTTGTTCAGGCATAGAGAGAGTCTGAGGCTGTGAAAGGTGCAGGATTGACACCCAAGGGGACAAAGACCTCTCTGCATCCTCTGAACAGACACAGTGTAAAATGCCCCCCGGTGTCCAGCCGTTGTGGCTATGCTTGGATCTAGGAGCACCTCTTAGCAGTGAGAGGCGTGCTCCTCTCCCACCTCCTCCCACGGGCTTCTCATTTACTGCCCAGGTCTCAGCAGCAAAGCTTTGCTGCGGAGTGGGGTCCTCTCATGCGCAGCCAGCCTTCACAGCAGTGTGGGATGACAGGGACAGCTCTCCCGCCCCCAAGGCAACGATCCCCGCCTGCCTGGAGCTGAGCCGCAGGCTCAGGGATGCCTCTATGGAGCGTTGTCACGATGGGCCAGGAGACGTACGAGAGGCGAGCATGCTTTAATTGGGCCAGCGGCATGTTGTGATGTCCTCCGGCATGTGTGGAGCTGTGCCGGTTAGCTCGGGGACTGCACATGATGAGTCCCCCTGGGAACAACGTTACGTTCCTCGCACAGGCTTGCGAAGAAGAAGTCGCTGTGTTGTCTGGCTTCTTTTTCCTTTGGGTTGTGGATTTTCCATTGCACACATTGCTATCTGCCACATTTTGGTGGTGCGGAGGTGATGGTGTTGTTGCGAGGAGCCAGGAGATAATATTCTTCCTGGTATTCATAACCCCTGCACTTCTCAAGTGCTAATGAACTTATTGAAGCATTTGTTCCATCTGGTATTCAGCTCAGCTGTGCCTGCTTCTGGGTCAGGGGTCTGGGGAAGGGTCCTGGGAACCCCTGAAAGCTTGTCTCCATCTATCCCAACCTTATAGTTGGTCTGATAAAAGATATCGCCCACGAGACTTCTTGCTGCTATGGAGCACAGTAAGTTTGCTGTGTGGACCTGGCAACTGTCAGCTGAGGGGATGCAGTGTGTGGAGGGGATGGTTTTTTGCAGGGGGGTCGTCTTCTCCCCAGGCTGGGGGAGGCAGACAAAAGGGCCCAGCGCCGATGCTTGGGGAGCAGAAAGAGGAGAAAAGAGCCTGGAAGGAGAAGACCAGAAACTTGGTCTTGATGAGGCAGGTGAGATGATGCCAGTGAAGAGACTGGGAAAGGGGAAGGGCATGGCCTGAGCTGCAGATGGGGGGAGTTGGTTTTTGCAGTGGCCCCTCGGGTGGGATTTGTGCAGGACATGGCCTGAGCTGCAGATGGGGGGAGTTGATTTTTGCAGTGGCCCCTCGGGTGGGATTTGTGCTTGGGTGCTGGGTGCGTGACAGGCAGTCACACCACTGTACTTGGAAGCCACAGATCGCAGAACACTTTGCAAAAGAGGCCAGGACCCTTATGCCCATTTTAGAGCAGGAGTAACTGAGGCACAGAGGGAAAAGGGACTTGCCCAAGGTCACCCATCAAGACAGTGGCAGATCCAGGAATAGACCCCAGATCTCCAGAGTCCCAGCCCTGGTGCTCTATAAATGGAGCAGCACTGGAAAGAGGAGAGAATCTGGGACGCTGGTGAGGAAGCATTAATTGAGCCCTACTTTCCTGAGGCTGCCAGTTTTTAATCCCAAGCTTAACTTCTATAATTATTTTCAACCCTTGACATTTATGCATCTTCCAGCATGCTGGCCTCTTAACCAGCGTAGCTGCCCAGAGCCGTCGGGCTCAGGTTGGGCTCTTCCTTTGCATTGCAGATAGTCACATGAATGCCACCGCTCCAGGATGCCACATGAGTGGAGGTGGGGTGCCCTGAGCGCTACAGCAGTCTCAGAGGTGCTTTAGGGACTGAACGGCGTACGCTGGGAGGTAAAGACGTAACCAGCACAGTAGAGGAGCTGTGCCCCCCACCCAGTTTGGATGCCCTGCTTCCCAGAAACAACCACTGCACTGGGTACGAGCTGGCAGCTCCAAGCTGGTAGAGCTAGAGGGGCCCTTCCTACCCCTCTTCCCCGGGAGGGGATCCCTTCAGGTCAGGCATGCGGTGCTAAACCCGAGGCCACTTGGTTGCAGCTGGCACCGGGCCCAAGCACCATGTTCTTGTTGTGACTCTCAGCGTGCAGACGTTTGCAGTTGCTTTTGCAGATTTCTGGACAACGTGCCGGGAGGTGCAAGAGCAACTCGCTGACTCAGTCCCAGCTCTGAAACCATCAGGTGCATTCGTTCGTTGTTACCAAATGGAGCCCACGAGGAATTGTAGGTCCATGCTCTGACCTGATGAATAGCTTTGAAGGTCAGAAGCGATGAGAATTATGACCAAGATCTGTCCTCAGGCCCAAATATAATTGGATTTCTTCACAGGGTAATATTTGATCCTTTGCTTTTACATACATTTTTTTTTAACCAAAGCCATGTGTTGGGTTGAAGGGTCGTACGGTGGATACAGACAGCAGATTTCACTTCCTGTGTATCAGCATGCTGGTTTTTGTAGCACTGCAGTTCTCAACCTTTTTAGACTCGAGGCACCCCTTGTCAGACTCCAGCAGCCCCTCATTACGCTCGAGGCACCCTTCAGAAAATGACAGCTTTTAGTTTTCCCTTTTTTTGACCACCGAAAAATCCTAGAGCAGTTCCTCTGTTGCAACGATGCAGACACACCGCAGCAGGTGAGAATGGTTTGAACACTATGAATGCCTGTTTGAAAGCTCCTGGTTTATATAGTGAATCATGTTTGCCCTGGCACGTGGGTTGAAAATCCCTCTCGCAGCAGAACCAGGCTGTTCCCATCTTGGTGCCAGTAACAACGGGGGAGCGGTAACAGTGTCCTCACCTCTTGGTGTCTGACAGCTTGGGGGAATCCTCCAACACTTGGCGAACGCAGAACAGAGACGCAGCCATCCGTGCAAGAGCGGCGTGTCTCACCGTGGCGGATCAGGGTTGCAAATTTGGGTCAGGGGCTTCAGGGAAACCCTTTCCCTTCTGGGCAGTGCCTTGGGAAGTTTTAAACCCCAGGGCAGAGCAGGAAGCTGGTTCTGCAGGCCTGGGAAACCCATGCAGAGGAAACAGCCATCTGCTTCTGTGTCTGTCTCCAAGTGGGAAAAGGATGAGCCGTCCCCGCTGGGAGCTGATGCTGGAAAGCCAGAGATTGTGTATGTGTTCACAGCCTGAACCCGAGCCACTCTGGGCACACATTAACTTCATGTTGTTTTTCCTTTTCACCTTTTAAATACCCAACTGTCTCATCCGTAAAACATTTACTCCTTTTCTTTTTTTTGTTTTCTTTCTCTCCCCCCTTTCCTGGGCAGGCTTTTACAGAGACACAGAAGAAAAGATTGTTGTCATGGAAACAGCAGGTGCAGAAACTGTTTCGGTCTTTCCCTCGGAAATCCCTCCTAGACATATCAGGATATCGGCAACAGAGAACGTACGTGGGGCTTTCATCTCTCTGATGCAGCGGCAGGGCTGCGTGCTTGGGTATCTAGGGCAGGACGCTGCCAACGGGGCTGATGACTGGAGTCCTGTGTTAATTGGAGCCCCCATGGGCGGAACTGATTAGCAGGGCTGGTTAACTCCAGGGCAGGCAAAATATTCCACCTTGTTCCTGTTGCAGTACTGTATTAGAGCCTGCACTCCCCGCCGCTCCTGCTGACTGGAGGTAGACCAGGCAGAGGGGCTAAGGAAAAGACAGGTCCGCTGCGCCCATTTTACAGGTGGACGACTGTGTCCCAGGGAGGTTAAGTGACTTACCCGAGGTCACCCAGGGAATGTGGGTGGAGTTGGGAGTTGAACCCAGAGCTCTTGCTTCCTAGGTGAGCTGTCCCTGCTACCAAGCTTGCTTTGGCGTGAGGACAGGGCCAGTCAGCAACACCCCTCTGTGTGTCTGCTTTCCTCTCCGGGGACAAGAGTTCAAACATACCTGGACCAAATCTCTCCTCCCTGCCCACAGCCCCTGCTGCTCTTACCTCTAGTGCCACTTGGCGATTTGGTTTTCTTCCGCTTGCCTGCTCCCCCACCAATTGTGCAAGTCTGGTCGTGGGCAGACACTCTCCTGAAAAAAAACACTGAGTGAAGGAGAAGACACGAGCCGCCCAGACATGGAGCAGAGAGGCTCGTTAGACCAGGAAGTCTGGGAATGGGTTCCAAAAAGCGCTTGAAGATGGACACTTGCATTTCCGCTGTGCAGAACTGCAGCCTAGCAGCTCCTCTTGCACCCTTTGCAGAAAGGGATGCATCAGAGGGAAACACTGCTGGACAAAGCACCCGCACAAAGCCCAGGTGGCAAGTTTTGCAAAACCATACAGGGACGACTTCTCTGCCCTGATATTGTGCGTTTGCTGAGCTCCATCAGGAGCATGGCTGGACTGTATGGACCCTGCTTGGGCAGTCGGGTGGAAGCTGCAGTCTGTCGCGCAGCCGCATGGGCTGAACAGCCAGACCACTGTTTGGAGGGGATTATAGAAACTGTGTTGTACTCCACGACTGGTCGATTTATACTGGTTGGGATCCCCTAGTCCAGTGGCTTTCAACCTGTGGTCCACAGACTATGTCTCGGGGATCCACGAAAGATGACTGACCAGTTAAAAGTATGAATACCCACACTTACAGTTCAGAGGCGTCCGCGCCTCCATTTGAAATTTCCAAAGGGGTCTGCAAAAGAAATAAGGTTGAAAACCAGGGCCCCAGTCCTGTTATCTCCTGACACTTGTTGACCCTACCACACGCAAGCAGGCGGATGAGGGCTAAGAGGAAAATGCGTCGGCACATCAAGGACAGCAATGACCTGGGTGAGAAGGACTGGGCCAAAGAGGAACAAGAAGTCTCCAAATTGCTCCCCTAATTTGGCAGGCTCCAAACTGAACTGGATAAATCAGGGTGTGACAGCAGGACTGCCCTTCGCTCGCATCTCATAGGATGGCATGGAAAAACGGGGCAAAGCCAGCAGCCAGATGGTGCAGCTCCAAATTGATGCCCAAAGCCGTGCCAATGGGCTGCGCGGGTACTCTTCTGCATGCGGCTGTTCCCTGCAGGGCACCACACAAGTGTCAGGGTCTCATGGAAATGGGGTAAAAAATAAAAAAAAGGCAGGCCTGTTTCATAACTGCCAACCAAGAAACATCAGCAATAGGGCGGGTGTTTTTATGATGCACCTATTGCACAGGTGTCTTCCTGCCCCCCACCCCCGCATGCTGGGGCGCGGTGTCCACTTCACAGCATCCTCTACCTCTGCAAGTGCCAGTCAATGGAAAGGAAGCCCCCTGCTCGGTGGGCTCTCTCAGATGTGGCACCTCACCCTCCTGCACCTCGATTCAGAAAGTAGCAGTAAGTCCTAGGCCCGTGCTCCCACTACGGGGAGTGGGGGTTAAGGGCTTGGCTCTTAACTCAGATCATGCAAATGAGGAGCGACTTTGCCATACTCCCTGGAGTGACGCCGGAGGGAAACCTGAGTAAGAGCCATCAGAATCGGGCCGTCTGCACTGGGTTCGGAGCTCGAGTGCGAGGCAGCTTCTTGAACGCGGGGCCAGACTCTGCTCTTCTGCACTCTGGGTTTGCATTGCTTTAAGCCAGGAGCAGGCTCTGGTCGGGAGCAGTCGGTGCTAGTCCTCCATGCGCTCTCCGTCCATCCCTGCCCATCCATCCCTGCCCGCGCCGGCCCGCAGCCCTCACAACGCCTGCCTTGCACGGGGCGACCAAGAAAATGCCTTCCCCTGTCAAACAGAAACCTGTTTGAGAGACCTGCTGCCTTTCTGGCCCCATCTGCATTTCGCATGAGGCTCCTGCTTCTCTCCAGAGCCGTATTTAGAGGCAGCTCTGGCCTTGAAGGTGCTAATGCAGTTTGGCAGCCTCATGGACCTACAGCCCTGGAGACTGATGAGCCCCCGCCTCAGACCCCCCACCCCCAGGACTGGACCCAGGGTGTCACATGCCTGTATCTCACCCTACACAGATGGCACCTTCATTCGTTGGCATTTCTTTCAGCTTCCCAATGGGTCAATTTTAAGCAAGCCACAAGGGCAGCACATTGGGAGCGATAAAAGCCCTAGATGACCCACAGAGGAAGAGAAGCAGAGAGCAGCTGGAAAGCCAGGGACAGTCATCCCTCTGTGGACAGGGCACAGGGCACACGTCCTCAGTCGAGGAACATAAGGGGAGGAAGAGCTGGAGTAAAAACAAATAAGTCTGAGGATGGACTTGAGACCCAGCCTCTTCTACTAGCACTAGGCAAGAGCAGCAAGGATGTCTTTGGAAAGTTGTGGGGGGTTTAGGGGCTGGCTGGCCAGGCATGAAGGCCCTCTTTCCAGGGCACGTGGAGGTGCTGTAGAGCAGAACAAAATCCCCTGGGAGCCCCCAGCAGCCAGGCCCTTCCCTGAGCTTAGCGTGTGGGTTCCTGGCCAGCGCGGCTTTTAGGCCCTAAAAGCAAATCCCTCGCACTTGCCTCCAGCGCGCGTCCCGCTGCCTCCACTTGACTTGCCCGAGTCGGGCAGGCGGGATTTAACTTTGCTGGGGGGAGCAGACAGAAGTGTAAGGGGGCTCAGAGTGGAGCCAGCCCTGCAAGCCCCGGGAAAGCCGATGTGTTCCCTCTTGTGGCGGTCCGTGGTAAGGCGCGCTGGGAGAAGCAGCCCGGAGGCAGGGCAGAGTTGCACCTTCTTGGCTAACTAAACCAGAGATGCATCGGCATTGGTAAGCAGCGTCTCTCAGGCCTTCTCATGGTGGGGATGGGCAGCGTCTTAGTTAAGCACATAGTGGCCAGCAGTGTTTTTAAACATGGCCAAGAGGCTGGATTTTCAGACCCGTGTTTTTCTCTCTCTGCAGCCGCGGCTTTGGCCAGTCAAACTCCTTACCCACAGCCGGATCTGTCGGTGCAGGCCTGGGCAGGCGAAACCCGCGGCAGTTCCAGATCCCGTCCCGCAACCTCCCCACCACCCGCCTGGGGCTGCTTGGCCCCACGGGGCTCCTCGGCGCTGCCCAGCGCAGCGCCGCCGCCAACCCCACGCTCCTCAAGCAAGGGAGACAGGTTGGTTTCCGTCCATCTGCCCTGGCCCCAGGTGCAATGGGCCGCCATTCGCTTTTGGGGGTGGAGGGGTGAATACTCTGTGGGTGCTGCGAGAAGGACTCGGGGTCTGTGCCTATGGTGCAGCGTTTCCAGCCTCCCCTGGAGTTAGGGATGCTCAGGGTTTCACGGCACCGGGCCCACCAGCATTGCAAACCGTTGCAGAGGCTTCCTCTTGCTCAGCTCAGGCAAAAGCCTCATTCTGCCTCTCTCGGTGAAGGTTAGACTGGAAGCATTTCTCCTGATTTCCCTCATCTGACTAACTTGTCTGGATCTCTTTTATGAAGGGGAAAAAAAAAAAAAA